TGTCCTAGCTTCACCTGCCAGTGGAAACATCCTCTCTACTTCTTTCTTATCTATTCTCTTCATAATTTTATATGTTTCTATAAGATCCCCCCTCAATCTTCTGAATTCCAATATAATCCCAATCTACTCAGTCTCTCCTCATAAGCCAACCCCCTCAACTCCGGAATCAACCTAGTGAACCTCCTTTGCACCCCCTCCAGTGCCAATACATCCTTCAAGTAAGGAGACCAAAACTGCACACAGTACTCCAGGTGTGGCCTCACCAGCACCTTGTACAGCTGCAACATAACCTCTCTGCTTTTAATTTCAATCCCTTTAGCAATGAAGGACAAAATTCCATTTGCCTTCCTAATTACTTGTACCTGCAGACCTACCTTCTGTGATTCATGCACAAGGACACCCAGGTCCCTCTGCATCGCAGCATGCTGCAACTTTTTACCATTCAAGTAATAACCCTTTTTACTTTTACTCCTACCAAAATGTATGACTTCACATTTATTTACATTGTATTCCATCTGCCAGACCTTTGCCCACTCACTCAATGTATCTATGTTCCTCTGCAAAGTTTCACAGTCCTCTGCACACTTTGCTCTGCCACTCATCTTAGTGTCATCTGCAAACTTTGACACCCTACACGTCGTCCCCACTCATAGCACTCATTTATCCCCACTCTTTGCTTCCTGTTAGTCAACCAATCCTCTATCCATGCTAATACTTTACCCTTAACGCCATGCATCCTTATCTTATGCAGTAGCCTCTTGTGCAGCACCTTGTCAAAGGCCTTTTGGAAATCTAGGTACACCACATCCACTGGGTCCCCATTGTCCACCTCGCTCGTAATGTCTTCATAGAATTCCAAAAGATTTTCAAGCATGACCTGCCCTTCATGAACCCATGCTGCGTCTGCCCAACGGGACAATTTCTATCAAGATGCCTTGCTATTTCTTCCTCGATAATAAACTCAAGCATCTTTCCCACTAGAGGTTAAGCGAACTGGTCTATAATTCCCCATCTTTTGTCTACTTCCCTTTTTAAACAGTGGCGTCACATTTGCTGTTTTCCAATCTGCTGGGACTGCCCCAGAGTCCAGCAAATTTTGGAAATTTACCACCAGCACATCTGCTATTTCTCCTGCCATCTCTTTTAGCACCCTGGGATGCATTCCATCAGGGCCAGGAGACTTATCAATCCTTAACTCCATCAGTTTGCCCAACACTACCTCTTCCGTAATAATGATTGTTTCCAGGTCCTCACCTACCTTCGTCTCTTTGTCAATTACTGGCATGTTATTAGTGTCCTCCACTGTGAAGACTGATACAAATACCTGTTCAATGCCTCGGCCATTTCATCATATCCCATAACTAAATTCCCCTTCTCATTCTCTGAAGGGCCAACGTTTACTTTAGCCACTCTTTCGTTTTATATATTTATAGAAACTTTTGCTATCTGTCTTTATATTCTATGCTAGTTTTTTCTCATGTTCTATCTTACTTTTCTTCATAGCTTTTTTTTGTGGCTTTCTGTTGACCTTTAAAGTTTTCCCAATCTTCTAGTTTCATGCTGTTTTTGGCCACTTTGTATACCTTCTTTTTCAATTTGATAGCCTCCCTTATTTCTTTAGACACCCATGGCAGATTACCCTTTTTCTTACAGTCCTTCCTTTTCATTGGACTATACTTTTGCTGAGCACTTTGAAAAATTGCTTTGAAAGTCCTCCACTGCTCGTCAACTGTCCCACCATAAAATCTTTGTTTCCAGTCTACTTTAGCCAAGTCCTCCCTCATTCTATTGTAGTTCCCCTTGTTCAAGCACAGGACCCTGGTATTGGATTTTATCTTCACACTCTCCATCTGTATTCTAAATTCAACCATACTGTGATCACTCCTTCCAAGAGGATCCCTAACTGAGGTCATTAATTATTCCTGTCTCATTACACAGGACCAGATCTAGGATAACTTGCTCCCTCGTCGGTTCCATTACATACTGTTCAAGAAAACTATATGGATACACTCAACGAACTCCTCCTCAAGGATAGTAGGAACTGCAGATGCTGGAGAATCCGAGACAACAATCTGAGACCCTTTTCTGATGAAGGGTCTAGGCCTGAAACGTCAGCCTCTCTGCTCCTATGATGCTGCTTGGCCTGCTGTGTTCATCCAGCCCTGCACCTTGTTGTCTCGAACTCCTCCTCAAGGCTACCCTGACTGAGCTGGTTCGACCAATCTACATGTAGATTAAAATCCCCCATGATAATTGCTGTACCATTTTTACAGGCATTAGTTATTTCTTTGTTTATTGCCTGCCCCAATGTGACGTTATTATTTGGTGGCCTATAGACTACGCCTATCAGTGACTTTTTCCTCTTAGAATTTCTAATTTCCACCCAAATGGATTCAACCTCATTCTCCATAGAACCTATATCATCTCTCAGCACTGCCCTGATGGTGTCCTTGAATATCAGAGCTACACCACCTCCCTTACCTTCCCGTCTGTCCTTCCGAATAGTCTGGTACCCTTGGATATTTAACTCCCAGTCGTGACCATCCTGTAACCATGTCTCCGTAATGGCTACCAAATCATATTCATTCGCGATGATTTGTGCCGTTAACTCATTAACCTTGTTACGAATGCTAC